AATATATGAGTCTCATTTCTTCTCTGTTCAATCTTGAGAAGTGTAGATATTAACTTGATAAGAGAGATCTAGTAGAGCTGCTACAGCATAGTACTCTGCAAAAGATTATTCAGTTTTGCTGTAGTAATATGTCAGTTTATTTCTTGCAGTAATAATAGCCTGCACTATAGCATTATTTCAGACTGAATTTCTTTTTAAGTGATTCAACTGCTTCTCAAGATGAGTAAATAAACTGTTATACATTCATTAGACTGACTGCAGCATTGATGTACAAGTGATTGAGACTGTCTTTGTTATCTTATAAAACTGAAACAGTAAATCAATCACATATTTCAACTGAGTTCACTTCATATTAGAAAGTTTCAATGTCTGAATCTTTTCTCAATCAGAGTGTTGCACTCAATGATCAATCATCTGATATAATTAAAGAGTCTGAACAGCTATCTTATATATTGAACTTCACTGTATTCTAACATTCTGTATCATATTCAGTGATGTGACTGATTCATTTATTTATTAAATATCATGAAATCATTGTTATTATTTAGAGGAGATACAAATCACATTAGAAATGTTTCAAATCTGTGATATTTAAATTATTAGCTAATCTATTCAAAATTAACAGTAGTGTTATCAAAAAGCATTATCAAAAAGCAATATTAAAAAGTGTTATCAAAAAACATTATCTTTTACAAAGTGAATGTAAAAGTTACTTAAGTAATCACTTTCATCTTATTCTCATTTCAAGAATCAGTCATCTCATTATTCTTTATCTTGATATTAAGATTCTTTATCAGTATTTACATCATAAGTTGAATCACATAAGCAATGTAGAAGATATGACCTTGTTTATCATTTTAAGAATACAAAGTCAATTTTTGCTCTAAGCTGTTCATCATAGTGTAGTTATTCACAGCATTGTCAGTTATAATTGTAAGAAGACTGAGACTAATATTTCAATAGTTATTTTTAATCACAGTTATTAATATCTCTGTCATATAATTCTCAGTATGACTACTGATCAATGATTCAAATTCAATTAATGTCTCTTAATAAGTTCAGTTCTCATCAATATAATAACATATAACTCTTATAAATGCAAGATTATTTATACTAGTTCATACATTCACTGTGAGAGACACTCTTTGATGATTCTTCAACTCTGATTCTAGATATTATATATTGACTTTGTAGTGTATCTTGAGATTGAACTGAAGACAGAATCAATGTGAAATATGAAGATTTGAATTAAGCATTTGAAGAAGTGTTCAGAATTCAGGGTTTTCAATTGATTAAAGAGAAAGATTCAGAGATATATATATATAAAGTAATTATTCACAGAAGTTATCAGATAAGAGTTATGAAATCAGAGTACTGATATATAATTATTTTTATATGATTTTCTTCAAATTAGAAAGTTAGTATTATCAAAAATTGTTATCTGATAGAGCAACTTATCAGCTCAGTAGTAATTTTCTGATTATTTTTCTTTTATTATCTGTATTCTGATGACTTCAGATGTTAAGAAATTTCTTCAGAGCTATAACTAGTTCATGATGAATGTTTCTGAATAAAGTTACAGTGATTATAGCAGAGAGATGACTCTTCAGTAATCTACAATACAATCTGTTGATAATTATTTCATAGTTCATCTCAGTATTTGTGTTGAGTTTTTCATAAATTTCATGATCTGAAATCAGATGTGAAGAATGAAGTAATTATTTATTATAATTGAAAGAGAGTATTCTGTGTTGAATTGCAAACAATATAGACTTTGTGATTCACAGTGATTTCTTAAAGAGTTTGTGAATCTTCAATAGAAGTAAAAGAAGTGAAAGAAGTGAATTCAGAAGATATGATGATAATTTGAGAAAGATAATAATTTATTTTCAATAACTAATCACTGATGTGTGTAAGAAGAATTAATATAAGAGAAAATAATCTTCTTTCTTAGCTTAGTTATAATTTTAGTACTAACTTAGATTGAATATTATCAATGTATAAAAGTAAATAAACAATCTTGATTAATCTCTGTCATATTTCTTGAAATATATTAATATTATGAAAGAGAGTGTTATCAAATTACATTATCAGATAATATCATTAAAAATATATTAATATTGTGAATATCAATGTTAAAAAAATGTTGATACTTATACATTATAGTGATTTATGAATCATGATAGTTAAATATATATATATATATATATATTGTTCCTGACTTGATTACAACTTGTACAATAATTTTTAAAAACTTAAAATTAATTTCAATTATTAATAATTATGAACTTACAATTAACTAATATAAAAAGGAAAAAACTTTTTCTACTTATCATCTTTCTTCTCTTTCTTATTCTTCTTATTATTCTTCATAATTCACTTCTCATTCTTCTTCTTCTTCTTCTTCTCCTCATCTGAGATGATAATCATCTCAAAATCTTCCTCTGCTGCCTTCTCAGAGAAGGATTTCTGCTGCTCTTTCTCAGCCAGGTCAATCTGCACCTCAAAATCCCGCATTTTCTGATCTGCTGCCTCAGGTTCCATCTCAGTGATAAGCAGATTGACATGCTCAGAGAGCAGAGCTGCCTTCTCAATGTTCTGAATCATGAAGTGCATTCAAGATCTGAACAAGGTCTAAATTCTCTTCTCTGTCAGCTTCTGCTAATCAATTAGAGAACAGAAGTATTATCAAAAATCATTATCTCTTAATAAAAAACTTACCAGTTTTAACTTCTTTATCTCTCACTTTAATATCTTCTCAATCTTCTTCTGCTGCTGTTTATTTGCAGTAATACTCTTCTTCTCTCTCTCTCTCTTCATCTTGATCTCAAATCATTCTTAGAACTTCTTCTGGTTTCACTGCTGCTGTATGAGGCTCTTCACTGTCTTCTTTTTCAATCTCTCACAGGCGGCGCCATTCACATTATTTCTATACTTAGTTCAGTCTAAATCTATCAGAAGTATTACTTAAAATCATTATCATTCTACTCTCTTGCAGAGCCTCTTCAAGGCATTATAATGTGTCTTGTAATCTGTCTCTCTGTGCTTGAATGCCTTCTTCTTCTCTCTCTTCAATCTGTGACAGTGCTCACATATCTTAGTGATCCGCAGAACTGCAGAATATTTGAAGAAGAATGACATGATTGATTTTAATAAGTGTTGAGAGAGAGATAAAGGCAGGCAATGATATGATGATAATGATGATGATAATAATAATGATGATAATGATAATGATGATGATGATTAGACTGACTGTGTGACCGTGTCTGGGACCAGGATCAAACTTTACAGTTATCATGTTGCCTAAAAGCATTACTTCTGATCATGATTTGTGTTTATCACATTGATCTCAAATCATGTTATTTCAAATATTAAAGATCTCAGATTCACTTTTCAAATAAAAATCTAGTTCTGAATAAAGAATATGTTTGAATTCTTAGTCATATTTTCATTCTGATTTCATTATTGAGAATGACATTAAATGAGACTATGAAATCACTTCTCACTTACATAATATCATAACATAGTGCTTATTTGTTGAAAATTCAACAGAGAGTATTACTAAATATTGTTACTTTTCTGAACACAGATCATAATTCATATAATTTTAATTATGAAAAAAATATAAAATACAAAAAAAAAAACAAAAAACAAAAAACAAAACAAAAACAAGAAAAAAAAAAAAAAAAGAAAAGAAAAAGAAAAAAATAAAAAAAAAAAAAAAAAAAAAATCAAGATTGCAGGGCTGCAGTATTCTCAAAATACTCACTTCTCAGAGTCTTCACAATGTTCATCATCAACTATGTATTTCTCACAGTGAGAGTAACACAGCTGTGATGAGTCATTGCCTTAATATTATCTAATAAATAATCAGTATATATCTGTATAAATGTGAATATTTAGAAAACATACACTTAAAAAGTATGGCCAGGATGAACTCTGCTGTCACTTGAATGACATTAAGAACAGAATGCTGAAATCAATGATTTCTCTCATTGATTTCACAGACAAGATAGACAAAGATAATCTTGAGAAATATAAAATTCTCTGACTTCTGATAAAAACAGATCTCACAGAGAGACTCTATTTTCATAATATCAGAGACTGAGTGTTATCAAAAAGTGTTACTTTCATGCAATGCACATGCACTTACTGTGATAATTCATTCTCTGCATATATGACTGAGGGTTGCAGCTTTCTCACACTGCACAGCTCTTCCTGGGATGCTGGCGCTGGTTTGCAACTCACACAGTCTCTCAGTTCAGCACACACTGTGTGTATACAGTCCTGTGTGCTGGGGCCGTGTTGGTCATTATAGCCTGGCGTGATACTTGCTTTTCACAGGCCATGTTTCATTTGAAGGAGGGGAGGAAGACACAACTGTGGTTTTATTGAGAAGAGATGAATAATTAGTAATATTGAATGTAATTTGATTCTTCTATATTTAAAATTTGATTAGTCTATACTCTTCAATTTAAGGATTTCTAAGAGTGTTTTAATAGTTTTCATACTGGCTTGAACTTAGTGATGAGTTGAAGAAGAAGAGAAAAGAGAGAAGAAAGAAATGAGAATAACTTATCTTTATAATATGAAAACAGAGAATCACTGCAACCATTCTCCCTAGTAACAAAGATCTGTTTTCTGCATGTATTTCTGATATAGATTATATAATAACTGCATACAAAGAATATCAACACTGCATGCATTGAATGAAGATGATATTGCTATGCAACACTGTAGCTGTTTTCATATATCTCTGAAAGCTGTTAATATTTTCTTTATCTCTTTATATTTGATAAGTCAGTAATATATTTCAATGCACTCTCTCTTTCATCATCATCATCATCATCATCATCATCATCATCATCAACATCATCACTATCATTATCATTATTATCATTATCATTATTATCATCATCATCATCATCATTATTATTATTATATTATTTCTGATTATCTCTCCTGCCTTCACCCTTCTTCAATGCTCATTAAAACTAATCATGTCATCCCTCTTCAAATATTCTGCGGTTCTGTGGACCACCAAGGCGTGTGAGCACTGTCACAGATTGAAGAGAGAGAAGAAGAAGGCATTCAAGTAAGAGAAGACAGATTGCAAGGCATGTTATAATGTCTTGAAGAGGCTCTGCAAGAAAGCAGAATGATAATGATTTTAAGTAACACTTCTGATAGATTTAGACTGAACTAAGTATAGGAATAATGTGAATAGCACTGTCTGTAAGAGATTGAAGAAGAAGACAGTGAAGAGTCTCATACAGCAGTGATGAGACCAGAAGAAGTTCTGAGAATGATTTGAGTTCAAGATAAAGAGAGAGAGAGAGAAGAAGAGTATTGCTGCAAATAAGCAGTAATAGAAGAAGATTGAGAGAGTGTTAAAGCAGAAGATAAAGAAGTTAAAACTGATAAGTTTTTTACTTATTGAGAGATAATGATTTTTGATAACACTTCTGTTCTCTAATTGATTAGCAGGAGCTGACAGAGAAGAAGGGGATTGAGGTCTTGTTCAGGTCTCAAATGCACTTCATGATTCAGAACATTGAGAAGGCAGCCCTGCTCTCTGAGCATGTCAATCTGCTTACCACTGAGGTGGAACCCGAGACAGCAGACCAGGAAATGCGGGATTTTGAGGTGCAGATTGACCTGGCTGAGAGGGAGCAGTGAGAACCCTTCTCTGAGAAGGCAGCAGAGGGAGATTTTGAGGTGATTATCATCTCAGATAAGGAGGAGAAGAAGGAGAAGAAGAATGAGAAGTGAATTATGAAGAATGATAAGAAGAATGAGAAAGAGAAGAAGTAGATTTTTTTCTTTTTATATTAATTAGTTATAAGTTTAAGTTTTTAATTATTAATAATTAAAATTGATTTTAAGTTTTCAAAAATTATTGTACAAGTTGTAATCAAGTCAGGAATAATATATATATATATATATATTTAACTATCATGATTCACAAATCACTATAATGTATAAGTATCAACATTTTTTCAATATTGATATTCACAATATTAATATATTTTTAATAATATCATCTGATAACATAATTTAGTAACACTCTCTTTTACAATATTAATATATTTCAAGAAATATGATAGAGATTAATCAAGATTGTTTATTTACTTTTATACATCAATGATATTCAATCTGAGTTAGTACTAAAATTATAACTAAGTTAAGAAATAAGATTATTTTCTCTTATATTAATTCTTCTTACACACATCAGTGATCAGTTATTGAAAATAAATTATCATCTTTCTTAAATTATTATCATGTCTTCTGAATTCACTTCTTTCACTTCTTTTACTTCTACTGAAGATTCACACACTCTTTAAGAAATCACTGTGAATTACAAAGTCTATATTATTTACAATTCAACATAGAATGCTCTCTTTCAATTATGATGAATAATCACTTCATTCTTCATATCTGATTCCAGGCCATGAAATTTATGAAAAACTCAACACAAATATTGAGATGAACTATAAAATAATTATCAACAGATTGCATTGCAGATTACTGAAAAGCTATCTCTCTGCTACAATCACTGCAACTTCATTCAGAAACATTCATCATAAACTGATCATGACTCTGAAGAAATTTCTCAACATCTGAAGTCATCAGAATGCAGACAATAAAAGAAAAATAATCAGAAAATTACTACTGAGCTGGTAAGTTACTCTATCAGGTAATGATTTTTGATAATGCTAACTTTCTAATTTGAAGAAAATCATATGAAAATAATCATATATTAGTACTCTGATTCCACAACTCTTATCTGATAACTTCTGTGAATAATTACTTCACATGTGTATATCTCTGAATCTTTCTCTTTGATCAATTGAAAACCCTGAATTTCAAACACTTCTTCAAATGCTTAATTCAAATCTTCATATTTCACATCAATTCTGTCTTCAGTTCAACCTTGAGATACACTACAAAGTCAATATACAACATCTAGAATCAGAGTTGAAGAATCATTAAAAAGTGTCTCTCACTGTGAATGCATGAACTAGTACAAACAATCTTACATTTATGAAAGTTATATATTATTACATTGATGAGAACTGAACTTATCAAGAGACATTAATTGAATTTGAATCATTGATCAGTAGTTATACTGAGGATTATATAACAGAGGTATTAATAACTGTGATTAAAAATGACTATTGAAATATTAGTCTCAGTCTTCTTACAATTATAACTGATAATGCTGTGAATAACTACACTATGATAAAGAGCTTGGAGCAAAAATTAGCTTTGCATTTCTAAAATGATAAACAAGGTCATATTCTCTGCATTGCTTATATAATTCAACTTGTGATACAAACACTGATAAAGAATCTTAACATCAAGATGAAGAATAATGAGATGACTGATTCTTGAGATGAGAATGAGATGAAAGTGATTACTCAAGTAACTTTTACATTCACTTTGTAAAAGATAATGTTTTTTAATAACACTTTTTGATATTGTTTTTTGATAATGCTTTTTGATAATACTACTGTTAATTTTGAATAGATTGACTAATAATTTAAATATCATAGATTTAAAACATTGCTAATGTGATTTGTACCTCTTCTAAACAACAACAATAATTCCATGATATTCAATAAATAAACAAATCAGTCACATCACTGAATATGATACAGAATGTTAGAATATGATGAAGTTCAATATATGAGATGACTGTTTGAGCTCTTCAATTGCATCAGATGATTGATTATTGAGTGCAATACTCTGATTGAGAAAAGATTCAGATATTGAAACTTTCTAATATGAAGTGAACTCAGTTGAAATATGTGATTGATTTACTGTTTCAGTTTTATAAGACAATAAAGACAGTCTCAATCACTTATACACTAATGCTGCAGTCAGCCTGATGAGTGTATAACAGTTTATTTACTCATCTTGAGAAGCAGTTGAATCACTTAAAAAGAAATTCAGTCTGAGATAATGCTATAGTGCAGGCTATTATTACTGTAAGAAATAAACTGGCATATTACTACAGCAAAACTGAACAATCTTTTGCAGAGTACTATGCTATAGCAGCTCTACTAGATTTCTTCTGTTGAGTTAATATCTACACTTCTCAAGATTGAACAGAGGAGAAACAAGACTTGTATGTCAAATTAGTCTGAGACTACTACAATACTAACTATCAGAGATTTGAATGAGCAGATGTTCAAGATGTGAAGACAGTGAAATACAATTCTCTAGTAAGTAATGATCTTTGATAACACTTCATATTTCATAGAACTATAATACTAACTTTGAAACAGAACTTACATATATTAATTGCAACTGAAAATCAGGCAAAACTACATGTTTATAAAACTGAATTTGACTGTTATCTTCAAGATAATCTGACAAATTTATGTGTCAAATCAATTCTAGAGTTATAAAAAATTGTTGAGAGTATATATTCAACTGTTGCACTGATAATGCATGATATTCTGATAATTCCATTGATAGAGGTGAGAATGAAGTGAAAGTTCAACTCAAGTTGAGATATTTATCACTATTGCTGAGAACAATTACAAGAAGAAACAATCAAGAAACTCATGATTGTAAAACATGGAATTATCAGACAGTTTAATACCTCTGATCACAGTATATCAGAGAAGTGTAGTTTTCATGAGAAAGTGAAGAATAAACTTGCACAAGAATGTATTTAGTTGTTTCATGAGTGTTATCAATAATTGTTACCAAATTCTGATTATATAAGCAATCACTGAATGAACTGAATGAGACTGATTTTGATCTTCAGTCTCAGTCTCATTCTGATTTTGAAAGAATGATCATCTTTCACAGTTTATTCTGAGAAATTACTCTCATTTCACTGTTCTTGAATTAAATCTGATCATTTTTCACGCCATTTCTCTCAGAAATGGTCCATTTTCAGATTTTTTTGAGGCTTGGTCCTGGTGGGACTCACGCCAAGAAATGTATGAGATCAGACCAAATGGGACCAAATGTGAAATTCATGGTCCCGCCGGCCAGTCTAATGATGATGATAGTGATGATGATGATAATGAAAGAGAGAGTGCATCAGAATATATTATTAACTTATCAAATATAAAGAGACAAAGAAACTATTAACAGCTTTCAGAGATGTACAGAAATGACTACAGTGTTGCATAGCAACATTATCTTCATTCAATATATGCACTATTGATATTCTTTATATACATTTATCATATAAGAGATACATGCAGAAAACAGATCTTTGTTACTAGAAAGAATGATTACAGCAATTCTCTGTTTTTATATTATAAAGATAAGTTATTCTCATTTCTTTCTTCTCTCTTTTCTCTTCTTCTTCAACTCATCACTAAGTTCAAGCTGGTATGAAAACTATTAAAACACTCATAGAAACCCTCAAATTGAAGAGTATAGACTAATCAAATTTTAAATGCAGATGAATTAAATTAATTCAATAATACTAATTATTCATTTCTCTCTTAATAAAACAACAGTTGTGTCTTCCCTTTCTTCCCTCTCAAATGAAACATGGCTCACAAAAAGCAAGTATCACACCAGGTTATAATGACTAACACAGCCTCAGCACACAGAGCTGTATACACACAGTGTGTGCTGGACTGAGAGACTGTATAAATTGCAAACTGACAGCAGCATCTCAGAGAGAGCTGTGTGGTGTGAAAAAGCCACAACTCTCAGTCACATGCACAGAGAGTGAATTGCTGCAGTAAGTGCATGTGCATTGTATGAAAGTAATACTTTTTAATAACACTCAGTCTCTGATATCATGAAAATAGAGTCTCTTCATGAGATCTGTTTTTATCAGAAGTCAGAGAATCTTATATTCTTCAAGATCATCTTCATATGTCTTGTTCATGAAATCAATGAGAGAAATTATCAATTTCAGTGTTCTGTTCTTGATGTCATTCAAGTGACAGCAGAGTCCACCCTGGCCACACTTTTTAAGTGTATATTTTCTAATTATTCACATTTATACAGATATATACTGATTATTTGTTAGATAATATTAAGACAATAACTCATCACAGCTGTGTTATTCTCACTGTGAGAGATACACAGTTGATGATGAACATTGTAAAGACTCTGAGAAATAAGTATTTTAGAAGTACTGCAGCTCTGTGATCTTGATTTTCTTTTATTTTTTTATTTTTTTCTTTTTCTTTTCTTTTCTTTTTTTTTTTTTTTTATTGTGATTTTTTCTTGTGTTTGTTTTGTTTTTTGTTTTTTATTTTTTTTATATTTTATGTTTTTTTCATAATTAAAATTATATGAATTATGATCTGTGTTCAGAAAAGTAATAATATTTAATAATACTCTCTATTGAATTCTCAACAAATGAGCACTATGTTATAATATTATGTAAGTGAGAAATGATTTCATGATCTTATTTAGTGTCATTCTCAATAATGAGATCAGAATGAAAATGTGACTAAGAATTCAAACATATTCTTTATCTGAGACTAGATTTTTATTTGAAAAGTGAATCTGAAACCTTTAATATTTGAAATAATGTGATTTGAGATCAATGTGATGAACACAAACCATGATCAGAAGTAATGCTTTTAGACAACATAACAACTGTAAAGTTTGATTCTGGTCTCAGACACGGTCACACGGTCAGTCTAGAAGTATGAGTATTATTCTTCTCAGTTTTCTCAGGATTTTGA